TACTTAACTATCAATAACATTGAATAAGAAAAATAAAATTTAAATTAAAAAAAAAAAATTGAGCCCGGCCCGCCCGTGTAAGCCCTAACCCGTACGGGCCCACGAAAACCCGAAAAATCCCAGCCCTATAACAGCCCGTTAACCCCAGCTCGCTAACAACCCGCCCGCTAACCGAACGGGCTGGGGTTTTTCCCGTTCAGCCCGTCCCAGCCCACCCGATAAACACCCTTATCCCTTGCTGTTGGGAAAGTAAAACAACCGGACAACCAGTGAACCACTTAGCTTTATAGAGCATGGGTTCCCAAATTTAATATTAGACCCTTTCTTTAAATTATGTACATGAAAAAACTGATTTGCTGGGAAGACCATGGGTTCACGTGAACCCCAATTTACACCGTAGATCCGCCCCTGCTTATCAGAGTATGAGCTGTTGGTAATAATACTAATTTGGTCAAGTAAGCTACTACATGTATTACCTGCAGCACAGCAAGCAATGACGAGGCCACGGTGTTGTTGAGGAGTTTTTGTTGATTTTTACAAGTATCCAACCCAGTGCTGAACCGATAGTAAATGTGACAAGAATGTTTACAGGCATGAACAATCTACACATGAAATGCCAAACATCTTGATTCAGATTTAGAAAAATATGAATCTAGGACTTAAACAATTACAGGAAGTGAAAACATTCAACACTTACATTGTGATTACGTTGCTCGCTGTTATCGTTTCAGCTAAACTGCTTGCCACCATTGCCGGTGTAAAAACATAAAACACAAGCTGGTCCAATCAAAGTTTTAACAACACTTCAATAATAGTAGTAGTAGTAGTACTAGTATTATTTTTTTATTTAAATAAAATTTATGAATTAAAGATGTGTTTGATAGGATGGAAGTCATTTTTATTGAAATTCTTTTTTGCGAGAAAGTCATTTTCTTGTATTTGATTACTAAACGGATGGAAATCATTTTGCTTACCAATACTTTAACTTTTAACTTCATATTACTTGATACAACTAGTACTATTAATCTTTAGGACTGGAAATTTTCATCAAATACTTTTCGATTTGATAATCTTTAAGATATACTATATTTCAAAAAATATTTTCTATTCCCCAACCAAACACCAAAAAATATTTTACTTGAAACATAACTTCCGCGAAAATAAATTAGATGAAAAAATGAAGGTTCACACTGTTCAAATGGTTCCTTGCAGAAGATCCAAGGAGATTAACACGTTCATGTGCAAGGAATAAGCCAACCACAGTTATGATCAGCGTTTTTAGAACAGGCATTAATGCCACGACAAACAACTCGAGGAATCCCATGATTGCCGATGTCTGTTTTTCTGCAAAAAGAAACTCATCTTCAATAAATAATCCGGGAATAAGAGGCAATAATGTCGCATTCAATATCAATGAATAACAATAAATGATATTTAAGTAAATTGAAGGAATTGGTCACTCAAGAAAGGATGGAATAAGTGGATGTTCGTTCTGACAATGATGAATGATAGATAATCCCTTGAATATTTGAGTTATTCTCGGATCTAGTGGAAAGTATAGACAAGAATCTCAGTGAAAATGTGATGTTTGTATCTTAGCAAGTAAGATCCGATTCTCTTCCTCAAGTCAAAGTGTGTTCTTTACAAAATGAATATCATATGTCCCATATCATTATGTCTTTTTCTATTTATAGAGAACATGCTCCTAAGAAACCTTAATAGTATAAGTGCAGAGAATATCCATTAGAATATTTTCTTTAATATACTATCTTGAAACTAGCCGTTATAACAAATTAAAGGTACTCGACCTCGGCCTCGACTCTTGTTGACACCTTGACTTCTGCCCTTGTTGACTCTTCGACTTCGGACCTTATTAACTCTCCGATCACAGACTTCGCCGCTTCTTGGACCATTTCGACAAACGACGACTTAAGAACTCTTCCCCTAGTACTATCATGGCTTAAATATCCTAAAGATAGATTTTGGCCCATACAAGAATGTGTCTAATTTCATTAAGAATACTAGTATAGGATTACAAAACAGTAATCACGTTCAATGCGAAACGTCTGGCGCAGAATATGGTTTGTTTTCTTTTTAGATTTTCTTGTGAGAACAAAATCTCGCGGAACTTTTGAAGGGAAGGCAATTTTGAAAGTGAACCATGTGATGAACTAAGATACTTGAAGACGTCTCTGTCTGCTATTTAGCGTCTACACGGCTACACCTACTGCCCACGCCATTCGCGTTGCAAATTTTCTATAGCTAAATGAGAATCCACTTGCAATAATTGACTTGCCATAGACTTGGAAAATATTATTTTAGATGTGATCATAGGGTAAAACCCGTAATTTCCAACCTTAATTACAATAGACATACAACAATTAGGGGGCCTCACCACTAGTTCTTAAGTCCTTTAGACATGAGGTATTCTTTGAGCGTACCAGTGAATTTAAGGGAGGTTCCTTTTGAAATATCATGTGCATTACAACTGCTGATCCCAAGTTCCCAACATATAGAACATTTGTTTGCTTCCATCTCTTTAAAGAAGCTGCACTGTAGCTTAAGTAAGAGTTGACGCCCGTAAGAATTAAGCGCATTATGATTGACCTATATACACATTAGAGGGGCGAAACTACAACTTCCATTTATTTCTTTCCCATCTCCTTCTCTTCAAGACATGCACAAGCATACAGTTACATGCACACACAAGAGAGAGAAAGCAAGAAAAGAAAGGAACAAATCCTTTTATACAAATTTACCCTGCTGAAGAATAGATACACATAATAAGCAGTACAGCCAAGTGACAAGCATTAAAGAACTCTCAGCGGGAGATCATCATAACCAACCCTCTTCTTGTGCCTTTCAAAGAGTTGTTCTAGTGCTTCAATAAACCGACTATGCACTTCAGCGACCTTCAGGAAAAGGAAAAAAAAACTGGAAGTTAAATAAATACAAAAAAAAAAAAATACTGGCAAACTGTT